TTGTTTTGAACAAAAAAAGGCTCAGATGAGAACTGCAAAGCTCAGCATGACTAATTATAAAATGTTAGTAATAGATTTTCCCAGAAGAGGAAATCTATTAATCTCAGAAGGCTCACATTAGCCTCAGAACAGATTTTCAAAATCATCTATTTAACGTTCTCACTGTTTAGCTGAGGAAACAGCAGGCCCCAAAGTGAGGTGGTTGGTGCAGAAAAAAAAAACAAAACAGTGCGAGGGCTTTTTAAGAAAAGACTCATTTTTGCCTATGACTTCATACATGGTTCTTTTAAATATAAATATAAGACATCTTTATCATTCTACCCTCCCGTTTTTTTGCCCACATTTCAAAAGAACCACAGTTTTTTCATTCATGACCTTTGAAATCTTGGTTCAACACTGAGGAGTTGAGATCTTTCAGGAATTAGCAGAGATTTGCAGCTAATTGGAAGAGCCAGTTGTCATTCCTGTGGAGCAATCAGGCACCACGTTTGTAATTATTTATAACATAGCCACTATTTCAAGACTGCACATTTTCAGGGTTTCCCCGCATTTTATTTTATTTTATTTTTAAGATTTTATTTATTTGAGAGAGAGAGAATGAGAGAGAGCACATGAGACAGGGGAGGGTCAGAGGGAGAAGCAGACTCCCCGCCGAGCAGGGAGCCAGATGCGGGAGTCGATCCAGGGACTCCAGGATCATGACCTGAGCCGAAGGCAGTCGCTTAACCAACTGAGCCACCCAGGCGCCACCCCCCCTTTTTAAAGATTTTATTTATTTATTTTAGAGAGAGAGTACAAGAGAGCAGGGGGAGGGGCAGAAGGAGAGAGAAAAATCTCAAGCAGACTCCCTGCTGAGCACAGAGCCTGATAGTATGGGGCTTCGTATCTCTGAGGACCAAGAATATGACCTGAGCCAAAATCAAGAGTCAGGTGCTCAACCAGCTGAGCCACCCAGGAGCCCCAGGGTTTCCCCTCATTTTAATATGTTATTCATACCCTCTGATGGGCTTCCACTTTGTGGGCGTTTGGATTTTAACCGGTCTTGCTCTACATTCTTTTCTTGTGAGGTAGTTTTTCCTTAAGTATGCAGATTATAAAACTGCCGGTAACTGCCTGTAGAATCTTTAGTTTGTTACACACTGTAGAAGATTGAGCTGCCTGGAATGGTGCATATTAATTTTTTATTGCTCTGCAACAAATCCCTGCAAACTCAGCAACTAAAAACAATGTTGCAACAATATGGATGTACCGAGAGGGTATTATGCTAAGTGAATAAGTCCGAGAAAGACAAATACTGTGTGATCTCACTAAATATGTGGAATCTAAAGAACAAAACAAATGAACAAACAAAACAAAACAGAAACCGATTCATAGTTACAGAGAATCAACTGTTGGTTACAGGAGTCGGGTGGGGTTGGGTGGCAGGGTGAAATCTGTGAAGGTGATTAAGAGGTACAAACTTCCTGTTATAAAACAAATAGGTCACGGGGATGTAATGTATAGCATAGGGAATATAGTCAATAATATTGTAATAACTTTCTATGGTGACAGATGGTAATTACACTTATCATGGGGATCATTTTGTATTGTATAAAGATATTGAATCACCATGATGTACACCTGAAACTAATAGGATTTTGTTTGTCAAAAAAAGAATGCAGATGTATTAACTTAGTTTCTGGGTGTCAGGAGTCCAGGCGTGGGTTGGCTGGGTCCTCTGCCTAAGGTCTCACCAGGCTACAGTTGAGGTGTTGGCTGGGGCTGTGGTCTTGTCTGAGGCTTGGGTCCTCTTCCAGGTTCTTTTAGGTTCTTGGTGTAATTCAGCTCCAGGAATTATGAGACCCCATGCTCTCAGCTCTGGCCGTGTGGCCACTTCCAGCGTTTGACTTCCTGCCTGTGGCCTGAGGCCCAGATTTATGGGACTCCTGTGGCTCTGTCAGGCCCACTCAGATGGTCTCTCTGTTGATTGGCTCATAGTCTACTGATTGGTCACCCTAGTTTTATGTCAGCAGGAGTGATTTCCACCACATTCACAGTCCCTACCTCACTCAGGGGGGCTGACGGTGGTGTGTACACCAGGACTGAGCTGGGGATCTTGGGGCCATCTCAGAATCCTCCTTCCACATGGGGTGGCCGGCACCTGCCCTTAGGAGGAATATTGTGTGGCAAACTAAATAGTGCTACTTCCTAATTGCTGTGAAGGAATCCAGAGTATTGAGGACGTGGTGACTTCAAACCTTGCCACTGTAAGAAAACACAAGCTGTGTGTCTCAGGAGAGTCCTAGGTTCCTGGAGGAGGCAGGCCTCTGCCTGGTTGGGGTTAGAGTTGGCAGGGAGGCCATGGGGCAGTGTGAAAATCCTGAGATTTTTGCCAAGGAGAGGAGCGTCACACATCCTGCCCACCCTGAACTGTGTCCACACTGGCCCGAGGAAATAGAAGGCAGTTCTGAATTGTTTACCTGTTACTAGGAGGCCAGTGTTACATAGCATTGTGTCAGAGAGATTTATTTCTGTCTTCTCTGCAGTGTTGTCCTGTGCACAGATCTGTGAGGGAGCGTGGGACACATGCCTGTGGGTAAATCGCCTGGCGCAATGCCCTCCACTAATTGCTTCTTCTGCTGCCTCTCTTTCTCTGTCATGGCAGCCTGGGAGCCAGTCCTTCTAGCAGGAGTCATGGGAATTGCGGTTACTAGGTGTTCGTCTGCTCAGGCAGCCATAACAAAGCACTACAGACCAAGTGGCTTAAGCAAGTCGATTGTCTCTCAGTTTTGGAGTCTGGAAGTCCAAGATCAAGGTGTTGGCAGGATTGGTTTCTCTTGCGGCCTTTCTCTTTGGCTTGCAGATGGTCGCCTTCTCTCTGTGACCACACATGGTCTTTCCTCTGTGTGCACACATCCCTGGTGTCTCTTCTTCTTATAAGGACATCAGTCATACTGGATTAGCACCACACCCTGTGACCTCATTTCCAACTTAAGACCCTATGTCCAAATACAGTTGCTGGGAAAAAATAAGTGTTATACCCTCCTCATGAGAAAAAGGGCTACTCATATATAATGTGTGTGTCATATGTAATATATATTATATATACATACATATGTGAATATATAATATAGCATATGTAAAGTATATATGATATATTTAATATATAATATTATATGATAAAAAAAGAGAAAAGTAGGCAGGGACATTGCAGAGGTTGGTGTAGGGTCCACACTCAGCTCGGGTGCTCCAGCTGGAAATCGTCGATGGGAGTGCGGGGCTTTGGTGGGGAAATCTTTGATCTGTTGAGGTGTCGAAGGGGTTCTATCCTGCTGCTCTTCTTCCACAAATAACTCCCAGGTTTGGGTTTTCAAGGACCCAGCCTGCTGCAGGAATTCCTGTGACCTGCAGGGCCTTTTCACAGAAGCCAGCACTCTTTCAGGCATCCTGGAGCCGCTCTGCTCCTTCTTCCTTTGCTCCCCATGGCTCACGTGGGTCCTCTCACCAGGACTGTCAGCAGAGATCTCCTGACCCAGTGCTTGCAGTCTGCAGGCACACTGGGGGCTACAGGGGGTGCCGTGGGGGAATCTCCTTTGAGGCTCAAGGCCTCCACCAAAGTAAGTTTCTTTTTTAAAAACAGTGCTCTGATGGAATGGGCAAGCTAATGTTTTAAGATTCCAAGGCAGAAGGAAACTGACTTTATGTTCGATGAGTTCTATAAATGGAATGTAGTTAGGATAAACTGAACACAGACAGTTCTGCTCCTCTCCTTGTCATCACCTTCCTGTGCCTGTCCCAGGGAAAGTCTGGGACCACCGGTCTCCTGGCAACTCCCGTCACAACAAAGCCTGTCCACCTCACTCTCAGAGTGCATGCTGCCCTCGTCAGTGACTAAATGGTGACTTAGCTTTTGGAAACTTTCTTCTGGAAGAGGATGGGCTCTTTCGGATTTCTCTGTACTTTCTGTGGGGACTCAGCAACTGGTCATGATAAGGAAGAGAGACGAGGGAGCTAATGCTTGCAATGATCATAAAGTCAAGGTTTGACCTTTAAAAGAAAATGGGAACATTTTTAAATGTTGTTTATCTATCACACATCAAGGCTATCTGTCCACAGGGAAGAGGTCAGACTGACATGGAGCCAGCAGGAGGCTCAGGTGATTGAGTGACAATTCTGCACCTTATCTCAGGGCCAGCTGACCTTGAGCTGGAGGCTGATGGGACTCTATCACAGCTGTTGAAGCAGTCTTGAAGAACACCCTGGCCTTGTAGGGAGCATTGCGTTGGCCCAGGAAGAATACATTTGCTCACATTGGGGGCTTGATTATACAATCCCCAAGTGTTGCTATCCAGTGGTTTGGTCTTGCCTTGCATTATTTTTGAGTACAGAGCTATACCTAATTTATCTTTGTTGGTCTTATGGTGGCCAAACTGTGCTTTGTACATAATTGGCTTGGTGGATCTTGAATTAGAAGAACAAGAAAACAGAGGCTTAAAATGGAAGGGGATACTTCTCTCTTCCCATCTGGGGCAGCTGATGGCTAGGAGCTCCTGGAAGTTTGCCTTGGGTTTCCTCAAATCCACAGTGTGGAATTAAATAGATGTGTAAAACTCTCAATACTTCTCTCAAAGTTCAGAAGTCCTATAAATGCGACTGACTTGGTCCACCCTGAGATCTGGACCTGATGCCTGAATTCAGATTCTCTGGGAGCTCACGCAAGGAGAGGCACCACTACCTAGTCCCAGAACGTTTTAATCAAATGGAAACCTGTACCCAATAAACAGTTTCTCCCCATTTCCCTTCCTCCTCGTCACTGGCAACCATTGATCTACTTTCTGTGTCCATGGATTTGCCTATTCTGAATGTTTCATATAGTGCTCGCTTTGGCAGCACATATACTGAATGTTTCATATAAATGGAGTAATAGTATATGTGGCCTTTATGAATATCCTTTTTAAATACTTTTTATTATGGAAATTTTTAACATACTGGAAAATAGAAATATTTGTTAAATGAGCTGCATGTGCCCATCACACAGATTCAGGTATGATCAACCTTCTGCCAGTCTTGTTAATGGCAGTTTCTTTACCAGGGAGGAGAAGCAGTATGTGAATCGATTCTGGAAAGAAATCCGAGTGGGAGATTTTGTGCGTCTCCGCTGCAATGAGATCATCCCTGCGGACATTCTGCTGCTCTCCTCTAGTGACCCGGATGGACTGTGCCACATCGAGACTGCCAACCTGGATGGAGAGACCAACCTGAAGCGAAGGCAGGTGGTCCGTGGCTTCTCAGAGCTCGTAAGTGACCTGATACTTCCAGGGTATCCTGGGCACCAGTCCATACGGTACCTCCCATGCTGGCCTTCTGAGCATCAGAGCACCTGCACCCCACCCCCTGTGCCTCACCCCCACCCCCACCACATCATCAGGCCAGGCCACTTTTCCTAGTAGATAGGTGTGGAACTGAGGGTCTGAGAGGATCCCTGACCCGCCTGAGCCCATGACCAGCCTATGGCTGTGGGGAACAGGACCCAGTTCTTATAATTCTGATTTCCACTGTACATTTCTGAGTTTCTCAAAACAGTATTTAAAATTACAAAGAACATTTATGACCAGCTGACTCCTGGCTTTTATCCAGTTGTTGTTCTGGTTTGCTAAATGGCAACACAGCAGAAGTAATGCCCTATTCTGAGAATGTAGCTCTGGAATATTTTCTCCTCAAGGGTGTTTCTGAGTTTGGCATCAGATCTTCTGTATCTGAATTCTGCTTTAGAGAGCCTCAGCCACAGCTTGAAGATGTACAGTTGATGCTGAGTGAGAAGTAGGAAGGGAAATGTGGGGTCTGACTGACGGCACTCACCAACAACAGCCTTGTGGCTGGAAAATTCAAACCCTGTCAGGGGTTTCTAACCTTCTGTTCACTGTTGTCCCTGCAGGTCTGTGTAGAGGATGCAGGGGTCAAACTCCAGGTGAAACGAAAGTAGCATGAGTTGTCAGGGATGAGGAAGTGTCCGGAAGGGAGTTCGGCCAGCCTAAGCCCTATTCTCCTAACACCTGGTCTGTCCCAGGCTGCATGTCTCAATCATGCTTGGGAGTCTTGCCATCAGCCTATACTGAAGGAGGCTTTAAGAAGTGCCCAAGGAAATGAGCTCCTGCATTTCAGAAAGGATGCCACTGGGGAGTCTCTTTCTCTGTCACATAAGATGTGTCAATCAAGGTCATACACTGGGGATTTTCTTCCTCTGTCACTGAGACCTCTCCATGAGCTCCCATAGGAGAACTAGCCCTGGAATCAAGACCAGGCAGGCTTCTTTGGACTGGTTGGCTTGTTTTATAGCTTATGGATCTCATCATGAGCACTGTCAGTATTTTGGGTGGGGTGTTTATTGCACAGGATTTATTTGGGGCTGGCACTCATAAGTGAACGTGTGATTCCCCCTTGGTCACTGTGACAACCAAAGGTGCCTCTACACACTTTTAGCTAGAATTCCACAAGCTGGGGCTCCCCACTTTGCCGTGGCTGGTGGGGACTTCTGAGCCTGACACTCCTCCAACCTACAGTGCACTTGGATGTCATTACCAGCATCTTCCCCCATTTATTTCCATCACAAGTTCCTCATTCACTCTTTTTAAAAAGTTGAGATGTAATGGACATACAATATTATATTAGTTTTAAGTGTACAACATAAGGATTCAATATTTGTTCATATTGTGAAATGATCACCACAGTAAGTCTAGTTAACATCCATCACCACACATGGCTACAATTTTGTTTTCTTGTGATGGGAACTTTCAAGATTTACTCAGCAACTTTCAAATATACAGGGCAGTATTGTTAACTGTAGTCACTACTCATTTACTTTTTTTTTAAGCCTTCTTTAGTGCCAAGTATTTTTTTTTCTGAGCTGCCTCAGATCTTTCTTGCAATGACACAGAGCTGACATAAATATTAAAAATAGCCATCTTTTAAAATGCGGTGCTGTCATCATCCCAGAGCAGGAGAGCTGGTGGAATTTAGGGGTTTCCGACTTCTGCATTGATTGTGCTCCAGGGTTTGGCAATAAATGGGGGATCACCTTCCACTCCCACCCCCTGGTCCCCTGTTCTCCTAAGGCTGGCCTCACTTCCAGGTTTTCTCCACCAGGCCTGCCCCAGTCTCCTAGACTAGAGCCCAGAATTCCAGGGCACAGTTCAGTGTGTGGACTAAGCCTGAAATCAGTATGGCGGCTGCATGGCCTGCTCAGTTCTTGTCATCTGAGCATGCACGGGGTTATAAGGAGGCAATGACTGCACAGGCTAGACCTTTACCCTCCTGGAGACTGGCCAGTGTGCATGGAAGATGACTGTACCATGAGTGAATACATAGGAATCTCTAGTGGATGCAAATTTGAAAACTGGAGAACAGAGTGTACATGTTTGGGGTGGTGGTGTGGGGAAAACCACATAGGTGTATCTCCTTGACCAACCCTCAAGAATAACTTCCACATTTCACATCTTCTAATTTTATTCAGTTGCTGAACCTGGTAATATCTAAAAACCTCCTCCACCTACTTTTTTCCCAAACAACAACTAAACATTTCATAGCTCGGTAGTGCTTTATCTAAGTGAGCTGTTTGTAAGTTGAATGTTTATTCAAGGATGGCTACGGACAGACACATCCTATATCAGCCTCCCTCGGGTCCGGTGAATGCCTGAGGAAGTAAATGGAGTTGAGCCATAATTTAGTCAAAATAGCCAAAATTAGCAATCAAAGCAATTCTGATTTAAAATAAAAGTTTCTTTATCGGCACCCAAATTCTTCAGTATGCATGCACATTGTCCCTATTATTGGAATATTTTTTCACTTTTTCTTTTATTTTCCTTTTTCTTTGAATGTTCAAAGATATTTTTCTGGTAGCTGACTTCCCATTCATACATTATCATTCTGAAATGTAAGAACTGCCCCATGGAGAATAAAGACAGGAAGTTTCTGGCATTTAAAAGCCTGACATTGGGAAAACTAATAACGCACACTATGTTAATTATGCTGGAATTAAAGTTAATTAATTAAGATAAAACAAAAATTAAAAATTTTTTTTAAAAATTAAAAAAAATTAAAAGCCTGACAATTGGAAAATCAGAGTTCTGACTACAGCGTTATAATGCCAAGACCATTTTAGTTCTCAGTATTTAAGTAGGTTTTCGTAGAATGGAGCCAGCTAGTGTATCTCAGACACCTGAAGAACTGGGTCCTGTCAAATACAAAGTGCTATGTTGCCATTTTGATGACTGGTCAGTTGGAAGTAGTGGTCCCTAGGAAAACTTAAATTAGAAGCAGCTTGCAAAACTGAGGTGACGAAATGTGACAGGGACTCTGTGTGTACATCAGGGTCTGGTGAGGAGGCTGAAATTACACAGGATTCAGTTAGGGCAAGTTTGATGGAAAGAATTCCAGTGGGGGACTGTGAAGTGAGAACAAAGACTTGCCAGAACACAGACCTAGCTGATGGAGCAGTCACTTGTCCTGGTACCTAGATAGTGCCCAGGGAAGAGGTCCCCGAGGTTGAGTCTTGTTTTCATGGCTGAGGGCATGATGGTAGAAGAGTTTCTGAGGGGCTAACCTGGCCAGAAGTCAGCCATCCACAGGAAAGTGCTGAGCCAGGGAACTTGGGAGATGCCAGGGGCAGCTGCTGGCCACTGGGCACTAGTTGGGCTCTAGGGATGTCGCCTTCTTCTTGTGGTTCCAGCTGCTGCAGTGGACAAAGACTGAGTGGTGGCTCTTTAGACAGCCAGCCCATAGAGCCCAGATCTGCACATGCAAAGGGACCAGGAGAGGGTGCAGGGAGGAGTAGCCCCCCTTGGGGTCAGGGCCCATACCCTCAGGGTCTCTGGTTACCCTGAGCTGAAAGCAGAAGAAAGCATGTGGCAGATCTAGTCGTGGACATAAACACATTGCAAGCTCCTTGCCTTGGAGACACCTGGAGGGGGGCTGGGAAGTGGAGAACAATCCACACACCCTTCCACCTGAAGGCTAGCCCCTTCTCCTGCAGCATACCTCCAGCGCCCTCTACTGACAAGGCCAAAAAAGTAGCTCCGTTTCCAGAAGTCATTAATGAAGAGCTTGTTTGCTTAGGGAAGGATGCTTGGAAAGGGGGAAGTGGGCGGCACTGAGGCTGTCCAGGTCGAAAGCGGCTAGGTCCCAGGTTTCTCAGTCCGGGGCACGGCTGGGGCGGTCCATGTGGCGCCCATGGCTCAGATGGCTCAGCTGGCACGTGGAAGGCCCTCACCTAGTTCATAGTGCTCCCCGGCAAGGGAGTGAGCATGCTGACTGTCTTCCTGAAGTCGCATCATGGAGAACGCTAGAAACCACAGTGTGTCACCTACCCCATCTCCTCATCAGGTCCACGCCCTTTCCCTGGGAAGATGGTAATCATACACTGTTCCATAACTCTCAGGGAAATCCGTTTCTCACTGTCTATGAAGATGAATAAGAAGAACCTAGAATACTAAACTACCCAGTGAGGACCACAGAACTGGTTTGGACCATGACTCTGCACATAGACCAGAAAAGTATATGGGACCTTTTTACTTGTATCAAGTGATGACCACTATACTGATCTTCCATCCCTTTGCTTATGGCAGGAGATGGCTTAAATAAGTAACTTAGATTGGTCCATGAGCAAAAAAAAAAAAAAGAGGGACTTGGTCCATGTGCTGCAGGGTCTAATGGTTTAAGGCAATGGGACCAATACCCAGAGGACTCAGGCTTGTTTACCAGCAGACTCCCAATACAGAAATTGTACAGGATTCATGGACTAGAAGCAGGAAGGCAGCATGCACGGCCCGCCCAGACCTTTGAATCTGAGGATAAGGCCCTCAGACACTGGGCAATGACCCCAGGACCTTGAACCCCCTAGCCATCTGGCCTCTGGCAAAGGAAACAGAGATAATGGGACTTCAAAATAAACAGACAGTTTAAAAGTGGGAGCCAAATTGGCATTATCCCAGAAGTAATAGAGAACCCCAGTGTTTCACACAATGCTCTCGGGATAACAACTCAAATTTGTTCAGGCTCCCCTGGTGTCAGACCTCATCATGCTTCTCACATTTGTAGTAGCACAGACATTTTAAAAACAACTTCACATATTTTAGAATATAAATCTTATGAAGTAATGATTATCATACCCTTTTACAAACCAGAAACAGAAAATGCCAAGACAGGAGATTCTCCCAAGGTACCCCCTGCTGTGGCTCCCTGAATCAGGGTAGAGCTGGAGGCAGTCCTGGGTTCTGTCACCTTCTGAGTTGGCATGGATGGG